GTTACCTTGCTCCAAAATGACAGTACAACCTGGACACATTCAGTGCCCATAGTAGGGGACTTTAACACCCATTGACATCACTTTGGTGGTAATTTTTTTAAATTTTAAAAATTTTTTATTGATTTCAGAATGAGAGGAAGGGAGAGGGAAAGAGATAGAAACATCGATGAGAGAGAACATCAATTGGCCGCCTCCTGCATGCCCCCCACTGGGACAACCTGGGCATGTGCCCTGACTGGGAATCAAACTGGTGACCTCTTGGTGCATGAGTTGATGCTCAACCACTGAGCCACACCTGCCTTGCACTGTGACGGTGCTCAAGAAATGACACTGTTTCTAGAACAAATAATGGGGGGGGGGCATCATTTTAAAAAACAGGATTAAAAGAGATAAATTGTGACATTATCAATTAGAATAAACGAAGAACAGATGTAAAATGCCTAGCACAGTGCCTGGCATGCAGTAGGCCCTCAGTACATGCTAATTCCCTTCCTTTATTCCATGAGATATTCACTGTTTCTGATGAATTTAAAAACTGTGAACTCAGCTGTCACGAAACCTGGAAAACACAAAGCAAATTTCCAGATCTTCTTACATGTACTGGGAGGTGCTGACAAGGTTTGTTTTGCCCATGGCTTAGAGGAAGAAAGGCTGAAGAAGAGACAACCTGGGTTTTCTAGGTTGCTTCATGTCAAGAGCAATCCATCTTCCAGTGTGAGAAAGCAAAAAAGCATATTGCTGAGATTATGCATATGCTTCCAAGACCAATTATTTACATATTTTTGGCAGAAGGTAAAAAAGGTAACTCTGTTTGCCATTTTAGAAAAATCAGTCGATTTTAAAATAGAAAACCTAACACGTCATATGTTTCTTAAAGTACCTCCATCATCCCATTCATCCCATTCTCTTTTCTTTTCCTTTAAAAAAATTTGATTTGAGAGAGAGAAAGTGGGGGAGGGAGAGAGAGAGGAAAGAAACATTGATGAAAGAAAGACACATTGGTTACCCCCCTGCCCCCCACGCACCCCTGGTTATCATTATTAGTTTCAAGAAGTACTGCTCCAAGTTTCTATTAAGAATAATAATTTTTTAAAAAAACATCCTATAGGCAGTCATTACTACATAGGATAACAAGTATTCCACCCTACATAAATAAATGGTCATTATTCATATGTAATAACCAATGTGCTTATTAAGGGGACAGGAAATAGGTCATATTTCCATATTGTGTTGCTATAAAGACTATAATATTTATTAAAATAATTTTCCATGCTACAGTGAATAGTTAGTAATTGCCTTCTTAAATTTACTGTTAAAAGCTATTCATGTCGGAGTTTGAATGGAAAACATTTAGCAAAATACTGGTAGACATTCAGTTTGGTGGATTTAATATCATTCCTAAAATAAATAGAGGATGTTTTGCTTGGTTGTATTTCAGCAGAAGGCTTCTGGGAGCAGGGCCCTCATTGTGGGTCTCGTGGCTGTAGGGAGAGAGTAGGTCATGGAGGTGACCGCTCCACATGCCAGCAAGGATGGTCAGGTCAGTTATCTGGATGCAGTTCCAGGGTTCCATGAATGAGCCCGAAGTGCCACGGCAGGAGCATGAGAGAAGAGAGCTGTCTGGACGCAGAGGACTAGAAGCACAGCATTTGGGATTACCGTATTCGCCATTCTACTTTGAAAAGTTGGAATAGAAAAATGTTGAATACTTGCAGATATTATTGATTTTAATAATGTAGAAGTAATAAGAACTAGGATTTTGCTTTTGAAGGAAAAGCACTGGTCCTAAAGTGCTAGTTATATTTTGCAACTTACTATCTCATTATTCTTGAGAAAAAGTCTCCTAAGAATGGTGGGAACAGAGCAGTATGAGATGGTTCACAGTGGACAGGTAACAACATGCACGCTTCATTCAAAACGTATTGAAAGGTAAACACGAATAGAAGAAAAACGACTTCTGAATCCATCTTTTATTGGAAACTTCACAACTACACAAGAACTCTATTATCGTTACTGGAATGGAAGGGACATTTTTGTTTCAGCCTCTGTTTTCTCAGTGTTAGACTTAATTTGACGAATCAGCTGCTCATTCATGTAGCTTTAGAAAAGTTCCAAGTTACTTTTTGATTGTCCCAATGAATCTCTTGTATCTGCTCATGCAGTTTTTAAAATTAGGGATGTTTATTTTTGTAATCATGCCTTTATTTAAAATTCTCTGTTGATTGAAAAGCACTAATAATTTCTATCAAAATTGCAGACTTCTATATAATCAGGCACATAGCTAGGCAACAGCTTGCTCTGTAAGATGAAACCCGTTTGGAGATACAGTACATGAAAGATATTGTCTCTTTGAGGGTATTCAAGCATTTCATTACAGTTGACTATTTCAAGTATTTTCCTTTTCCAGATAAAAATTGTATATTTAATATATATAGTTATATGTGTATACAATTTTTAGTAAGAAAAAAGCATTTTAGAAAATATTTTACTTCTAGTCATATGTTTGTGTGTTGAAATTTCTGCAGGAAATATCAAACAGTAATGTTTTCTATCACCTGTCTTTACTAATGGCAAAATTTCATCAAATTTTCCTAATTTCTCTCATGATGGATATGATTTTATTGAGGGAGCACCTTGATCCTTAAAGTTTATGGTTAACTATGTAATTATAGATGGTGAAATTTAGAAACAGGAAGTTAACAGTATACCACAAGTTGGGTCTTAATAGTAATGGCTTACATTTCGACTATTTATCAGAGAATATTTTGGGTGTAAATTAAATGGAATTGATTGCATATTTGATATCCAAAGCAGTAACCAGACAAATTTATGGATGAGCATGTGATTGTTTTTAATCCATCTAATTCTGATTTAAGAAAGGAAACCACTGAAAACTGCTATGGGTGCACATGGACATTTCTTTTAGCCAATGACTAAGCTCTTTATTACATAATTATGATGTCTAACCTATATCGTGTCATTTAGGGGTCATGTTATGTTTATGGTTTTCATAATTTTCTTCATAATTGTATGCATCATTTCTTTAATCGTATCTCGTGTTATATAAATAAAAATAATTAAATTTTAATATAAAAACTAATGTTAGAAATTTGATTACAATGCAGGCAATTATATACAATAGTCAGATACTTTACAAAATATCCCTGCAATTCTGACTTCATATAGTTAGTGTTTTTTGGATTTGCCAAGTACCATCTTTCATGGATCAAAAAGATAATCTTTACCCTTTTATATCGAAAATAAGTTTTAAATTATGGGAAACATGGGTATAATAGCTTAATGTAAAGTTTCAAACAGGGTTGAATTTTTCAACCAGAACCTCAAATTTTATATTTTATGGAGCTTAGAAATAAACATGATAGCAAAATCAGTTGTTGCCTGACATCCTAGATTGAATTAATGTAACATTACATTTCACTCATGGCACTAGAAACCTCCATTATGTGCTGTATTTTATTTTCTGTATATTGAATAACTGTTACTTCTGGCCTGAGAAAGTGAGGGAGTCGTAACGCCATTCTACTTCTGCTGCATACAGAAACAGATCCAATAGCAATCAACTGATTTTTGACCTAGCTTCCCAAATATGGTAGATGACTAGCCCATGATTCCTTGCCGCTACCATACAAAATGAAATCCTAGGTGAGTTTGCAGTTTAAGCTGTCTCTTAGGTTGGACAAAGCTTTCTTTTCTGAGGAATTCAGATTGGCATCCTTTCAGGGGGGAGGAGGGGAAAGTTCATATTGAATTTTGATCATTAGAAGGTTTTGTTTTGTTTGCATCCGAATGGTGCTTTCATTTACAAATTAGCAAAGGAAAGGTAAGACTGTGTCTATCTGCTTTATTAGTTTATGACCTGAAAATGTATTATAAAATCATTTAAGAAGTTACTGTACTTTTTAAAATGTGTTTTCATACCAAGACAAGAGCCTTACGAAAAGATGCTTTTTATTACGAATAAAAAGACCAAATGCATAGAACAGCATTATTGGTTATGACAAAACAGTTTTAAGAAAAATCCAGTGGGTATAAAGATTTTATTTTAGAGTACAAAATTGGTTTTGATGAGTGAGTAGTATCAAAAATAAACATTGGTATTTGAACTGGGGCAGAGGGCTGGCAAATAAAAATATAATAGTCACATAAGCGATGTCTTCTTTAAATATTTGTGATCAATATAATGGTTAAGTCATCAATCTAATAACTGAACTCAATTATTTGCCTAAAACATGATAGCAACTAAGTATCTTAAACTGGAGCTGTAATGCAGTCATCATCTGAATAGCTCCACATCATCTGAATAGCTGCTGCAGATTTTCATGCATAAATTGACTTTAGTTCAAATTTTTCTTTTAAAGAACAGACTGTAAAGAAAGAGTTCTAGATAACATAAATATTTTCCCCAAAATCATTTAAAAATATTAACCCTGCAATATTATCTGGCTCATAGTCACAAAAGTTGTTCAGGTAAAACTTGTCATTCTAGAAACCTTTGCAGAATCACGCCCAGGTTTCCATTGTTAAACTAGTAATAGCTTACACGTTTGCTTTTCCCCCTCCCTTCACGTACTTAATGTGGAAATGGCCATTCTGTTCTTTTTTTTTTTTTTTTCCCCAGACCTGTCAGATGTTACATTTGGAAAACAATATTTGAACAGCATCGCTTTCCCAAGTTTCAGGGCCTGAAAAAAAGTTTTGGAAAAGTATAAAAGATAACGCGTAACTACTCCCCAAAGCTCGTAATTGGTAGCTGCTGCAGCCAGAGATGTGTTGACAGTGTCTCTGAGTTCTTCTCACACAGCTGTTTATTCTGATAGCATGGGGCGCGTTCATTTATATAATAATTTTTTTTTTTTTTTTTAAGCAACAAGGTTGAGTCAGACCAGCAGTGCTCCTTTCAATTGTTGCATTTAAACCAATAAGGTTGGGACAAGAGAATAGCTGTGGTTTGCGTTGCAAAAACAACAACAAAAAGCCCCGAGGCTGCACGGGCAGACCTACAAGGCTGCGCAAACAGAGCGGGGATGAGATTCTGCTGTTTCTTTGTCTGGGGCGCTCAGATGCTATCAGCTGCTGCCGTTTGCTGGGAGCGCAGGGCTCAAGGCGGTCTCTAAACTGCGCCAGAGGAGCTGATGGCTCCGAGTTTGGGGCGAGGTAGAAACTCTCCAGTGCCACTTCCGACTTTAAGCCTTCCTGTTGCCGGCCACTGTGGCGGTTTTCTTTCTGGGGACAGCGTTTTCGCGCAGTCGCTCGGCAGCCCGAGCCTGCAGCAGCGGCCAGGCGGCTGTCCCCGCGGCCCGGCTCTGCCCTGCAGACGCGCTCCGCTTCCAGAAGCGCCCGGCTGCTCCGCGAGCTCCTAAGAGCCCTCCCGCGTCCTTGTCCAGGAGCAAAACTATGTCAGGAATGGAGGTTTGCTAAACCAGAAAATTCGAAGGAGAGCATTAAACTGGTGGATGCTGCAGATGTAAGCGCTGTAAGTACAAGCTGACTGTTTGAAAAATTGTAGTGACTGACAACAGCTGTCCTGTGGGCAAAGCTCAAGATAACAGGAGCGCTTTTAGTATTGTTTTGGTTTCTTTTAAAATGAAAACATTAGGGCATGGGGAAGATTATGACACTTTGTACCTAGTACTTTATGAGCCACAGAGTTCTATCACGAACGTAGCATTCTTAAACCCCAAATTATCAGAGCAATTAAAATCATTAACTGATAATTACAAATTAATTGTTAACAATTACTTTGGTTGTGATCTATATCGATAAATATAATGCACGGCTGTTTTCTTGTAGGGAGATTACTTCATATCTCTTTTCTGACTTGCACAAACCTCAACTATTATCGTGCGATATTGAATAGAGTGATGTATCAATATCTATATCGACAGAGAGATATCCATTGCAACACAGAGATAACTTTTCCTACACACTTTAGATTGATATGAGAAAACAAGGAAGGAATTAACATTTTGAAAGGACAACAAAAATAGATACCATGTTTTAAGGAAGGAAATCCTTTTGCTTCAATAAACAAATTTTCCAAACATTATATTAAACAGGCTCATCTTCAAAATGTGGAATAATAAACATTTGCCAAATTAATATATTTTTCACTGTTGACACTTTATATGACTTGACTGGACCTTGAAATTTAAAAACAAGCCTCTTAAGCTTTTGAATTGCCATTTAAAATATTTGTCGTTCAGAATCAGTATATGAATTGCTAATTACTCGTGGGTGTATATGTCTTGGGAGGAGTTTTTGAACACATTTAAGCACAGCATTTGCAAGAATTCAATAAAGTTAGAGCCCTCATTGAATTTAGACAAGTGTTTCTATGTTTCATTTTTTAAAATGACAAGGGGTACAAACAGTCAGTAGTTAAGCACATAGTGTAGTTTTATAACTTCGGAATTTTTTTTTTTTTAATGTGTCTTTCAAAGTAGGTTTTATTTTAGGCTTGTATTAGTGTTTTTGCCCACCCTTTGGATTTGAGGACATGCATACATGAATAGTCATGCTTTTTTTGCATTATCAAATATTTGACTTTCTCGCTGCATGAGTTCTCCTAAGGCCCAAAGTGTTCAGTGAGGGAACAAGCAGCCATGGATTTTCAATCCTGAAAATTCTACGCGGTGACAGACAGGGAAGCCTAATTGAGCCACTGTTCAGTTTGAGAGTGCCAAAGGCAAGTCGTCTGCTCTCTGAGTTTCGTAGATATGATCAATGATTTTCTCAAAAGAAAATTTCCATTGGAATGCAAGAATTTATTTTATAAGAATACTTTGGAATGAGGAACAGCACTTGCAGCGGGAATAAAACTACTTCTTCCATTTAATCAGATATCAAAACTATTTTATTTGACATTTTCAATAAATGCTAATTTTGAAAGCAGTCCTTTAAAACTATAGGTAGAACCAATGTCATTTAAACACTTGTGTTTGTGTTCAAGGGGACTCTATTTTGTCATTTTCTTTAAATGAAATACTTCAAAAAATAATACAGTATATTACATCAAAACCAGTAATAGTATTAAAGCAGTCATTTTATGGAGTCTTTGATAAATAAGAAAATAAGTGTTAACATTTCCAAGGCATCCTCTCCATCTCTTGGAAGAAGTTTATTTCAATTTTAGGTTTGAGTTTTTACCAGAACATTGACACCATAAGTAGAAATATTGACTGATGAGAATTTTAGTAAGAATATATTCTGATTAAAAATCAGGTTTATGCCTAAGGCACATTTTTTTTTTCTATAAAATGCATTCTGATTAGAAAATTGCCATTGTCTTTCAAATTTGGGAGTACTCAGGTTGATCTGTGGTTGGGAAAACTAGCTTGCCTGCCAACTCTATTTATTTAGATAAGTTCAGTACTTTCACTTTGAAATTTTCTTTTTGGTTTGAAAAAAGAAAGTTTAAAATTATGGTCGTTTTGTAAAAATTGCTTCTAGCAAGCAGAAAAGCCTGTGGAAAACCCATAATTTAGACAAGTACCTACATTTTATTTGCTCTGTGCTGCTGAGATTTAGAATCCCTTTCCATTTACAGTTTACTTTTCACAGAACATTATTAACTTTTTGGCTTCATACATGATCTTCTGTCAGATGCTTTTGATTTGTAATTTAGCAAAGTATAATAAACAGTGCAAAAGTCATGAATTTCGCTCTGCATCCTGAGCTCTGTGGTAGGGAAAATGTGATAAAATGTGTACCTTAAGTCTTGTTTGATGATCCCTCAAAGCAAGCTTGCCTTCTGGAAATAATTTCTGGGGTTGAAGAGCATGGTATTAACAGATTTAATGTGGCTATTCAATGGATTGGCGAAGTACTATGTGAGGTTTAACAAAATGAGAGAGACAAATTGAACATCAACAAAAGTTACATCTGTGAAGAATTATAAATTTAATTAGAAAAAAGGCAAACTTAAAAGACCTCATTAACTAATCAGAAGTCAGAGTTACTAGTTTAGGATTCTTGAATATAAATTCTAAGAAGTTCTGTTATCTTTTTTCTCTGCATTTTCAGTAGCAGTATGCTACTCTGAGTATTCTATACGAAGAGTTTTAAAAAGCATTAAAGTGACATGACTTCATTGTAATATAAGATGACCATTTATAATGTTAAGGGAAATATTTTTGTGCTCATAGGAGCATTTGAATTAAAAATACCAGATTAGGAGAAGACTAGACACATTAAATTTATGGATGTAAAGAAGAAAATGTGAGCTTACGATGTCTAAAGCATTTTTCTGAAAACCATGAAATAATTTGTTTTCTCTTTTGAATGGAAATATGCCTAATTATTTTTGAAACACATCATGGTTTTAGACCTTGGAAACAAACTCCCAGAGATACTGCCATACATAAGAGAAAATCAACGTCAATCAGAAATAGGTGTTCTTTTTAGATAAGTCATTAGGAGAGTATGTTTCCATGCTGCACTGTAATCTGGTACTACACATAAAAAAACTAAAAGCATGTGAAGTGTAGCATTTTGTAAACTGTAACTAATTTTGTTCACATCTGTGTCTAATTGTTGTCTGCATTCGCATTCTTGAGAGTAGATTTATTTTTCCTGGACCACGATGTGGATTCAGCTGACCAGCCTAAGTGAGGATTAGTTGTTTTAAAGTTATTTTGATTAAAGAGTCATTTTTAAATACAGTAACACACAACACATGGTTTAAATAATCCCTGAGACACAAAAGAATATATCTGAAGTATACTTAATGAAGATCATGGGCATGGACTTTCAAGAATTGTAGTGTATAAAAAGTACAGTAGAGACTGAGTCGAGTCAGCAGAAAAGAAATATGTTGTTGTGAAAATACATTTCTTCAGTGTGAAAACGTGTTAGAGTGATTCTTAATTTGAACTTCATTTCAATGAACAGTTTGAATCAAATATAAATATGATAGGTTAAACCTTAAATATAATCAAACTTTCAAATTATACAATGGAACCAAAATTACATTTCCAAGATTATTACTATCTAGCTAATGTTAAAATAGCAATGTATTTTAACACTTTTAACATTAAACAGAAAGTATGTTTTACATACTCTTTCACATAATTAAGCTAAGAGTTCTGAAAACTTAGTTCTCACCTATAATTTATTCCAGGTGTATTAAAGTGGGGGGAAAAAGAAAAAAAAAAAAGAAAGAAATTTATCCTTGAGGTATGTTACTGCAGTTTCTAAGGGAAAACATTTAAACTTGTGTGAGGACATTAATTTTAACAAAAATTGCAGAAGCCTGTTATCACAAAATGGCATGTCTACAGGCATTAACATTAAATTTTCACTTAATGCACAGGCATCCCTTAAAAATGTATTTTTCCTCCTACATATATTCCAGAAAAGCACACCCAGAAATTGCACATAACATTCACCAAGACATTTAGACTTGACCTATGCTTCGTTCTTGCCAGAAAGGTAGTATTTCTTAATTTCATAAATCATCATTAAAAAAGAACAGGACTCAATGCAGATGTTTGGCTGGATACCTTTATTGCCAGGTGAGACGCTCCAGTTCTCAACTTGGTTCTGTAACCCTAATTGATGTCAGTTCAGGTTGAATGAAAATGCACATCAAAGATTTGGAATTGAGTCATTTTGAACGTCATGCAGAATGCTCTTCACAGCTGAGGCACGGCCTGAGCGTGGGAGCCGGCAGCCCACCCTCACCTGAGCTGCTCACCTGCTGGCCCTTGGCACTGCCTCTGGAGGATGGGCAGAGACCAGCCAAGGCTGGTTAAATTAGTTGCTCAGTCAAGTCCCGAAATCCAGATTCTTCTGGAGACAGAAGACACCAAAATGCTGGCTACCTGGGACATTGAATTGATTCTTATATTATCCGTTCTCTTTCTCGGGTTCAAAGATGGAAAATTAAACCACAGCGAACCGCTTTTTCTGTTTTGCCAGGCAATGCGGAATAAGCGTGCGCTGCCTTTGCAGTTTGCAGGGTACATGAGCAGATTGCGCCATGATGGGACCCGGGGAAGGAAAACTTGCCTTTGCCATTTGTAGTTACTGCAGCATGGCCTGGAAGTTGCCCAGAAGGTCTTTCAGTGCATGTGAAATGACAACCAGTCAATATAGAAGAAAACTCTGGTGATAAGGATAAACTGTCGGGAGGCAGAGGGGTGGGCGGGAACTCCGTTTCAGCTGGTGATAGTGGCAGATGAAAGATCTTCTGAGGATGTTGGAGGATGTCGGCCTGAACCACTTCTGTGAAACACACTCATTTTGCTAATAGCAATTTTTTTTTTTTCCAAGCACCTTTTCCAAGCTGCCTGGGCAAGACTGCTTTGCATGTTGATTGGGGGAGGGGTAATCCCGTTTGCAGCTGTCATAGGCCAGTGATGAATCACTATCCAGTCATTTGGCCGCCGTCCCCCCTGACCAGGGGAGGAGGAGGGTAGACCTGCAGGAGGAAACAACAGTAGAGACCTCAACTTAAAGACAATATGCCTTTCACTGCTGCAGTATCCTCCTTTTTCTCTTTTAGTTAAAAGGGAGCATTGTGGTTCTCAGCCATGTGCTCTGTGTAATTAAGAGCTGACACCGAAGCAGAGTAACAACAGCTTCTAATTTTTTACCCCTGATCACAGGTGCAAACACCTCAAACCAGTTCAGATGTTGCTGTTTCCTCAAATTGCAGGTAAGGATATTGTTGATATTTGACATTTTGGGAGCTTACCTCTCTGTGACCCATATCTATTTTTGTCTAGTATTTCTTAATTATTGCTATTAATAGCAACAGCCTCAGTTGGAAATTACTTAGCAGTGTGTGTGTGTGTATGTGGGTGTGTGTGCGTGCGTGCTTGTAAAACATTTTGAGTATGTAGAAAGGGAATGGGAGCCTGGGTTTGAAAATGATTATGGGCTATAGTTTTAGAGTTAGGAAAACTGAATGTAAAGAGAATTAGGAGAGAGAAAGTGCATTTTAAACCATTTCTAGTTTTAATTCAGAAGATTTGATGAAGTAAACTCACTCTAGAAAAAAAGGGGGGGGTTCTGTTAAGCCATTTTAAATCAGTTTACATGCCACCTCCAAATTAAAATGACTATCTTTTATTGACCTGGTGAGGGTGAAGAGCAGACAGCCTCAGCTTCATAGATAGAATATGAACCCTCCCCCCTTAAAAAAACACATACATTTAACATAAAGTGAATGGGCCTTAGATTTTCAAAAACTTCATAAACTAGATGGTATCTAGTTATGTTTTTAGTCACTTTAAATGAATCTCCTCCTCTCTTTAATAGAATATTAAATATACATGGCCAGTTGTACAATTGTAGTGGCTTTTGTACCTTTTCTAGACTAAGTAACTGCTGAGTCTAAGGACCTTCAGGGGAGGTGGGACTGTTTTTACATGGTAAAAAGGCACAATTGGAGCACTGAAGTAGAATCGTTATTTCCCTGAGTGACAGTTGCGGCATTCCGAGGGCCAGTGCCTGGATGTCGGCCTTCTTCCTTCCCAATTGGGCACGCTGCATGTAATCCACAAAGCAAACAGGAGAGCCGACATCATCATGCTTTAATGCCGCATTTGTTTCAAGGGAAACAGAGGGACAATTAAGCAGTTTGCCAGAGTGAACACATGCATCAGAACTCGCTCATTCCCTGTCATACACTGGAGGCTTCAAGTGTTTTATTTGGTTTGGGGACCCATTAAATTACAACTGGTTGGTAAATTATAAAGGAGTACTTAGTGCTAATTTATTAGATGAAACAGATTTCAGAAAAGAGTGGTTTTTTTTCCCCTCCTTGTTTACACACTTTTCTTTTAGAAAAAGAATGCCTTCTTTTTTTAATGTAAAAGAAGCATGACTGCATTTAAAAAAAAATAAAATGGATGTAATTGCTCATAGATCTTGTGACTTGAGCTATCTAAGAGAAAAAGAGGGATTTTTAAGGCTCCATGTGAATGTTTGGCTGGAGAGGTAAGGCAAGTGGCTGACACCTTTCATTACCACATGTTATGAAAGGGTGACTGAAGGTAAAATGTAAGATGAACTATTTTGAGTCCGAGAAAATAGATACAATGGGACTTTTGTGCGAATGTGTTTTGAAGGTGTCAAGTCGTTAGCGCATTAAATAGAGGGTTATGAATTTGGTACATGTGTCAAACGGAGGCTTCTTGTCTCTAGGTCTATGGAAATGCAGGATCTAACCAGCCCGCATAGCCGTCTGAGTGGTAGTAGCGAATCCCCCAGTGGCCCCAAACTCGATAACTCTCATATAAATAGTAATTCCATGACTCCCAATGGCACCGAAGGTGAGTGTCTGCCTTCTCGCTGTTTACTTTGCACCTTGCTTCTTATCACTGTACACTTTGTTATTAGGTGGTTATGAGCTCAGTTGTCAAATCCATGAAACTACTGTTCTATTTCCCCTTGAGGTATTTGCCTTATGATTCAGTACTCATCGTTAGTTAGGAGCTGCACGTCACTAGGTTATTATAACACTACATAGACTGGTTTTATTTTGCAGACGCATATATATATTTATATATATATATGTGCATATTCTCCATATGGTGTGTGCATAACATTTTTAACCTTTCTGTTTTATCTCCTGCTGACCATTCTCCACAGCACAGTATCAGTTTGCATTGTTTTGCTTTGAGTAATGAAAATTTGAAATTATTCCATTTTACTTTCCCTTTTGGTACTAAATATAACCATTTGTTACATTTAAGCATGTGTTTAAATGGAAGATTGGACTGGATTGTTTCTAAATATCAATAAAAGAATTTGTGTGCCTAGTGTTCTTGGGCTTTGGCCATTAAGTTATAAATAGTAAAAAAAAAAAAAAAAAAAGTATTGTTTACAAATATGCAAACTCATTTGGATGATACACAAAATTTGTTTGCTTTCTTAAAGGTTAAACAGTATACTTTAAACATAGTACTATTACAATTATTTTTGCATAATTAATACATGAATATTTATATGTTATGTAAATAAATTACCTACTTTGATCCACATATACCTAAATCTAAACACACAAACAACACTATATGTATGTATTGTAAGCTGTTATTCACATTTAGGTACTGTGTATATTTTTAAAACTTTAGCATATGGAAGGATATGTTAATGTTGCAATGTATGTCTACCTTAGCCTAATGAAATATTACTTCTTCGTAGATCATATTCTTGCTTCTTTAGTCCCTACTAAACCTCTGGACCTTGATGAACTTAGAGCATAAATTTCACTAGAAGTTTAATAAATTATTCATGTTAGAATTTCATCCATAAACAAAACTCTTAACCATCATTTTCCAGTCACCATGGTGATCTTTTATCACATTTCTTAAAAATAAACAAAACTCAATGCCATAAAATTGTTTGTTTGATGCAGTATTCCAATGGGTATTAGTGAAGGCTTTTGAAACAAGTAATGTTTTGAAATTTATGATAATAGAAAAAATTATAAATCCCCTGTTTTTCATGTGAGACATCTTAATTTTTATTCCAACAGTGATTGTTTTTAATGTGTAAATACTGGGGTAGACAAACGTAGGTTTATAGTTGTTCATATGGAAAATAATTCATAATAATAATACAAGAATAATCTCTGTGTTTCATGTACTCACAACTGTTAGCCTACTTGTGCCCACCCTTGTAGTCTGCATTTTCTGTTTAAGTAAATACATTCATTACTGGTGTTTATGAAAGATGTACTTTTGTCACTGTCAAAAGTAGAAGCTTTGCTGACCTAGCAAAAAATGAATCTCTGAGTAAGGTGCCTTTTCGTCTGAAACTCTTTTCTTCCCATTTCAATAGGTGATCAAAAGGAACTTTAAATTATTTAAAGGAAAACAATCCTAGGGTTTAAGTAGATTTTTATAGAGCAAATAAAAAAGCAAGCAGCCCTTTTCCCCTCCCCTCTGGAATTCTGGTGCAGGTGGAAGGGTGGCCAGTGCACACGTAGACTGCCGTGTGCACAGTCACGCAGCGGCCCCCAGGCTGCTGGGCCCCACGCCAGTGTCCTTGAGCAGGTAGACCCTGACCTTGAGCAGGCAGCCACTGATGAGTGCCAGAGGGGGCCAAACGTTTAGCAGTCGTTCTTATTACTGAAAAGTTCAAAGAAGATAATCACTTCAAGTACCTTAAATATAAAGAAGACTAAGTATGTTAAATTATTCTGTCTGATAGACGAGACCAATACATATCGGTAGGATTAATTATGAAATAATAACGGTTAATTTTCTTATAGATGAAGAAATGAGGTGTAAGAGTAAGATGTTTCATTTTGTTATCATTTACTGGCAAATCGTCTCCAACAAAATAAGAACCACACAGTATTGAAACCGTGTGTGCTTTGGGGACTTCCTCCTTGGGTGGCTTTGTGTCAGTGGTGTGTGGTTTGTTTTTAAGGGTGTGTGGCGTGGTAATATGTTTCTGAGTGTTTACATCCAATAGCTCATATCATGTTCATATTCGGGAATGTTTTTTGCACAACTAAAATAAGTTCAAAATAATAAAATATGTTAGATAATTGTGTAATCCGCTGAGCCATTCAATTTGGGAAGTACTTAGAAATGACTCCTTATCCTTAACAAAATCTGAATTATATCTTGGACATAAAAGTTGTAGACCCATTTTAGATAAATACACAATTCCTCACTTCACTGTATTGTCAGGCATTCTTTAGTGGTGGACTTTGCAAAGGTCCTAGTAGTTAGAAAGTGAAGTATAAAATGTCAGTATAAATTGTCCAAAAAAAAAAAAAATTTTTTTTTTAATCAATCTACTGGGATATTATTTTATTTTTGTGTGTAGTTTGAAAATATAGACTCAAAACTTCCTTCACGATCCATGCTACATGCCTGTTTAGATGCAAACAGTATTAGAAAGTTCTGGGTTATTACTGAGTTTGTGAATCAATTTATCATGCTACTTACATGTTCCGTAATGCGCTGGCTCCATTCCTCATAGTCACCACTAGAGGAGTTAAGCTTAAAATCAGTAAAGTCATAATGTCTGGCAAGCTTCCCTGGGATATAATCATTAAAGATTTTCCTATTCCTTCTTTGAAAATCTTGTTTATTTTGAAACCAGCAGTGTTTACCAATGAATTAGGAGAATGAAAAACAAGAAATTCATTAAAATTTCAAAGAGCATTTAAATTATCAATCACCTCCCCTAACTCCCTAACAGATATTTCTTTCTAGCTATCTGGCCGTGATTTATATTGAAGCAACCTCACTGCAGCCCAGTTGAAGCTGATCTCCTTAATTAGATCAACACAAACGTCCCTTAGTTTACACAGTTGTTGGCTTTGCCCACGTTTATATTGATTGTCTTCTCTCACTCAGAGCCATTTTTTACTTCCTGCCACCACTTGTCCCCATAATGAGGCTAAGAAAACATGAAAATCTCTTGTATCAAACACCATAACTTCATCTGAAGAGCAAACAAGAAGGGAATGGAACGGAGAGGCCGAGAATATTAAGTTTCTTCTTAACTCGGCTGCCAAATTATCATAAGACTCAATGTTTGTAGGTTCTGTACTCATAGGCTAGCGCCTATTTTCATGGTTCATCTAAGGGATAAAGACAGAAAGACACTGAGCTACGACCTCAAATATTGTGCTTTCTCATTTCCTAGATGAAATGTTCCTTAGTTAGAATAGTTGTTTGAATGTTTCATATTTCAAAAGTTTCAACTATTTATACTTTTAGGTTCGATTCCAACCTCTCTGAATTGTTATTGTTGCAGTTAACTGTTGGTTTCACCCAGTTTATAAATCTTTGAATTATAAAACATGAGTAGGTAAAAATATAAAACAGCATATGTGAATGCTTGACCTGCATTCAGAAAAGCACTGTTAGAAGTGATATATTTCCAAGTGAATGAATAAATATTTTAGTTACTATTAAACAATTAAAGATGGACCTGGAGGAGAATAATGGATGGTTTTGAAAACACCAATTGTGGCTTTTCTTTTAACTGTTTTTTCTGGTCTTTTGAGCAGTTCGTCTTCCAGGACAGGATGGAATAGACATTTCTTATTAGAGAGATTGTTAAAGTATAGTTTTAAGACACGGGCCTTTCGGTGGGGATGCTTTCTGAGATAGCTGTGAAGACGTCAGACCGGAGAGGATCTCCAGTGTGTGGGTATATGTTCAAGCCTCAATTTGCTAGAGGCTGTGTGCTGATGTTTGTGTTGTGAGAAGTAGCTGGGAAATCTTCTTTCAGAAGGACTCAGGGCTGGAGCTGTAAAAGGATTTTTATTTACGGACCTAATTAAGGCCTTGTTTGCAAAGCAGTGATTCTTCCCATCTTTGTTTTTCCTGGTTGTCTTAAGTCCTTGGGAGCCCACAATTGGTCAGTTCATATATTACTGGTTTGAGTGTTTATTTTTGGTTGTCTGGGGTGAGGAGTGGGAAGAGCAGAAAAGAGGTGTGAGTAAGTGGAACTAAGAGCTCGAATTCCGAGTTTTCTGTATTGAAAATTTAGATCCAAATGTAAGAAGAAGCTTCAATTTGTCTTAACGTTGATGAATTTACCTTGAAGTGACATAAAACCAGATGCAATTGGAATCTTTCCTACAAATAGGGCTTCAGGAATTCTGTAATTCAAATAGTAATTTCGAATGGTATATCAGATTTCCAAGATGATAAGAGATATGATCTTGAATTAGGTAGCTAAATTTTCTGTATTTTAAGATGTATTTAATTGTGTAGTATGTATTTTAGGTCACAGGTTAATTCAATTATACAAATTTGTATTAGAAGTTATTTTAAAGTTGTTTTATTTCTACAAAGCTTAGAACACTAATAAAGGATATGAAATGGCTTTTCTCACTGTAATTTTAATTTAGTAAAATACAGCTATATTCAACTAGACTATTTTAAAGAAATCTTATGTATGAGACATGTAAACTGGTGTGGATGTGTACAAAATTATGGTTTGAGGCTGCATTTTAAGGCTATATTTATATATTTGTGGTCAAATATTCTGATGTCAATAGAAAAATGCTAATTTAATTTTATTGTTTACATTCTGCACATGATGTAGTTTCTTGAAGATTAAAGGACATTGTGAATAAAAGAGTTTTCTAAATAACACTTTTAGAGTTTATAGCCATTGAATTAGCCTCTTATAAATTATTGCCCTGGCCGGTTTGGCTCAGTGGTTAGAGAGTCGGCCTGCAGTCCAGAGAGACCCGGGTTCGGTTCCTGCTAAGGGCATGTACCTCGGTTGCAGTTTGTCCCCGGCCCTGGTTGGTCATGCGGGTGGCAGCCACTCGATGTGTCCCTTTCAC